TCAATGCTTGGAATAGCTTGTATGGATGTTATGGAAGGTGTTTGAGGTGGTTTGGATGAAAACGCACAATGGAATGTTGCTGGCCAAGTCAATCTGCAACCATGACTCTGTTTTGCAGAAAAAATGTGTTTTGATGGATGAGGAGGTATGGAGGGTTAAGGGCTCGTGTTCTAGGTCAGTAGGGGAATATCAAATGGGTTCACAAAGTTTGCTTGAGTTGGTTCTTGCAGGAATGTGAGTTGTGATACAAAATGCAAGCTTTCTTCCCCCTTAAGCAAAAGTTGTCAAGTTTCAATATAAGCTACCACAGGCCCCCTAAACATGCTGCCTCAATCCCTCTTGATCAGTGTGATTAGTTCCTGAACTTGTGCCCAAAAGATTTGCATTGTACCTCATAGATTGTAAACTTGACATAAATTGATCTTTACAAGAATGGATAAAATGCTTTTTCTATTTTAAGACTAAACCTTCATGTAATGACCAAATGCACAAAATAACATCTTGGCATAATGGTTTAGCATTGAATTATTTAGTGTTAATGGGATTAGAGGCCTGTAACCTAGCTTGTGCAAACTGAGTTTGAAAATGCATAGTGTTATGAACATGAAATTGGCCTATGAACAAAGTGACTTTTGCCCATCTTGACAAATTCGAATCTCTCTAACCACAAGGGTGTTTGATGAGTTCTTGGACAATTTGGAAAGCTTGGAATGTTTACTACAATCCATCTTTGTAATGCAAGTTGAAATTCCAAGTGGAAGCATGTGAAAAGTGGCCATGAAGTTGGCAGATTGCGACAGGTATTTTTGTAGATTACGACGGTTAAAACCGTCGCAATTTGCTTTCCACGACGGTTGCTTTACCGTCGCAGAAGTGTGTGTCCCCAACCTATTTCGCGACGGTTACAAAAACTGTCGTTCAAGTTTACGACGGGTTGATACCGTCGTGACTATCTTTTGAGTTTCTTTTAATTATTGATGGCGACGGTTCGATACTGTCGTGAATATCTTTTGAAATTGATTAAATTGTTTATGGCGACGGTTCGATACCGTCATGACTTTTGTTGATTATTTTTAATTGTTGATTACGACGGTTCGGTACTGTCGCCATGACTTTTGTTTATGTCTTGATTTTTTTTTATTTTTCTATTATATATATTTTTTATTTAAATTATTATCTATGTAAAAAATTTTAAATATAGTTTTTTTTTGTGTTATTTTTTTCTTTAAATTATTTCTTCTTTAATATATTTATTTATAGTATTATTTTTTGTTTTATTTTCTATCACTCTACAACTCTTCCTAATCTCTCCATCAGACCCTGTCTTTGGATTTATATTCCCCATCTTGATCATAGATTTCACAAAATCTCCAAAGAAAAGTGTACTATCATCATTATAGCTTTGTACTAAAGGTTTAGCAGTTGAATTGGCCTCATCACTAGAAAACAGAATCTGATAAGAACTTAGAAGACCCTTTCCGTTGAGCAAGTTCTTATAGTAATGATTGTCAAATGCATCAGATGAGTTTCTATCAAGAACAGCAGTCGTGTTTCCATCACCGGTTTAATTTTGTAGGTCAGAAAGCATGGAAGTGTCTAGTGTACTGTCCGGTGAACCCGTTCCAGAAAAATTGAATAATCTGTTGCTAAATAGTGCACACCTTGCTCTCCCAATTGTATGAGCACCTTCAAAAATACATAACTAAAATCAGTCATACTCGTTGGACAAGGTAGTCTTTAACGTGTAAGATGAGGTATAACATAAGTCTAAAATTTGTCACGTGTGGGTAAATATACTCAGAAAGTATTTGTCACAGTTAAACAGTTAAACTGTCACGGTTGAATCGTGACTAATCTATACATGGTTTTCAAAAATTTAAGATGGTGATGAAGGATGAAGTTGAGTATTTAATTACCGGATAAAGAAACAACATCTGTGAGATTGAGTCCTACATTATTAAACTTTGAAACAATAGTAGCTAGTGGATCAAATGGAGAAGGAAGAACCACATTTGCTAGAGATGCATTTGAGACTGATCCATCTCTTCGTCCTAATAGAACATTCCATGAAGGACCACCACTCTGCCAAACATTATGTAAGGGTTATGCATAGTTTTTATTTATAGGAAAAGTAAGTAAAATTAATAAATGAAAAATTATGAGAATAATTACAAGGAGGACAGAATCTCTGGCAGCTATGGCAACTATATCAGCACATGAGACAACACCGCTACAAGCACTCTCCACTGAAGTTTTGATTGTATCAATAACATCAAATCCTCTTACAGAGTTCACATTAGGAAAAGCAAACTTTTCAGTATCAGCACCACCATCTAGTAATATTGATCCATCACAACCCTGATAATCAAAACAACAATTTGAAAACTTAAGCAATCAAATCAAGTATATATAATATATATTCAAAACCATGCATGCATATGTATATTGAAAAATAGAAAAATAAAAGAGATGAGTTTTATTATTGGTTGTTTAATTTGTTTTTACACACTACATAACAAGTTTATAGGTGAAGCCTTGTGATATCAATTAGTATAATACAGTTTCATGTAACAGACATATATGGATAAATACTTCATATCAATATGTTTACTACATTTAGCTAGTAGTTTTGATCGAATGATAACTTTCAAATTTATATTAGTTTTGATCGAATGATAACTTTCAAATTTTCTTTCAGGCTTTTTAAACACGTTTAAGATGAAAAAAAAACCGCTCATATAAGAACTTATATTCTGTATCTTTGCTTTTTATACTGTTGATTTAATAAAGGCCTATGACACATGATTCTTTTGTTCACCACAGAATAGGAAACTATTCTTTATGTTAAATTCTATATTTACTCTTTCTCTGAAGAGAACTTATTCTGAATATCCTTTTTCAGAGACCTCAGCAACAACAAATTAAGTGGACAAATCCCCACGGGCTTCGGGGGTCTACAGAACATCTTGTACTTGCTGTAAGAATTTTGCCGCTGCTTCATCTATCATAACTTAAAAATGTAGATGAAAGATACATTTTATTCTAGAAACTGGAAACTGAAATGTTTTTGTTCATTGCTTTCGTTAGTAGACTAAAATAAAAACTAGTGCCGCCAAAATCTTGTAAGATTCTGACAGATATTGTATATCTTTATGCAGAGATCTGTCGTATAACAAATTCACTATAGCAAACTTTGAGCAGCAAACTTGTCAACAAGGAAGTGTGTAAGAGTCCTAGCACTGTGTTTTTTTCATTTTTCTTTTAACTTCATGGTTTTCTTGTTTTGTATTTTCATGAATCGACCTGATTCTCAGCCTATTTCCTTATGCCACAGAAACTATCAATGTCCTAAAAGTGAGTTTACTTTTAATGGATTTCTTATATCCTTCTATAGTACTGATTGATTCGTCTAGCAGTTGATAACTTATTTCTTCTTTTCCAAGCTTGGTACTCTCTCTACATAAACTGTGGTGGGAAGAGCATAACATATGATGGAAATAAGACATATGATGATGATTCAGCTGAGATGGAATCAGCAAGATATCGTCAAATTGGAACAAACTGGGCACTTATAACTGCTGGTCACTTTTTTGATAGTGGACGCTCTGACTACTACATATGGTCTAATGCAACAAAGCTTGCCGTCGACAATGGTACTGAACTGTACATGGATGCACGTGTTTCTCCAAATTCTCTTACTTATTATGCATTATGCATTGGAAATGGAAACTACACTGTGAATCTCCATTTTGCTGAAATAATGTTCAGTGATGATAAAACATTTAGCAGCATTGGAAGACGTGTATTTGACATCTACATCCAGGTGCATGTTTTTTCATTTTATTTTTACCACATGTACTAATCACATGATATGAACCAATTTTTCTTAAAACTAAATTAGAAAAAATAAAATTCAATTCATTCGATACTGTGCATTTGAAGAATTTATATATGGCAGAGAAATTTGGTGTTGAAGGATTTCGATATTGCAAAAGAGGCAGGTGGTGTCGGCAAGGCAGTGATTAAAACTTTTACTGCTGGTGTGACTAGAAATGCATTGGAGATTCGCTTAGGTTGGGCTGGGAAAGGAACAACTACTATCCCATTTGGATCAGTATATGGTCCTCTTATATCAGTTTTATGCCTAAAACAACAAATTAGAAAACCTAAAAAATCATAAAAAGAAATAATACCCTAAAACAACAAATTAGAAAACCTAACATCAATTCAATATATTCAAACTCAAAATCAATCATCACAAAGAGCTCAACCATAAGATTCAAGTGAATCTCCAATGCTGAAATCAATGGCAGAGAATGAGAGAGATGAGAACAATGCAAAAAGTGATACATAAAACTTACTGTGTTTGAAGAGATGAACGGAGAGGATGTTAAACTGCTTGCTGTGCGTTTTTTGGTGTGAAGATGAGCGGTTTGAAGAGATTTCTTTCGGTGTCAAGGGGTTTCTTTCGGTTTGAAGAAGAACGGCATGAAATAAGAGATTCCAAACAGCCTTACAATAAGTCAATCCAAACCTGCTCCTGACTTATGCATAACTGATTATGTGATACGCTCATTAAATAAGTGCTTAATTGAGCTGTTTATTCAAAAGAATTCCAAATTAGATCTAAGCAATTAAATTGAAATACCTCAATTGTATCGACCACATATTCAGACAACAACGCAGTGAACACGGTCATTCCAGCCAACCAAGCAAATCCACTCCAAAATCCAATCACAGCCTCTTCTGCCTCAATGTTCTCATCTCCGCCTTCCTGCTCAATTCTTTTTAATAAACTATAATTGCAACAATCAACAATTCAACATTTTCATATATGGTTCAGTTAAGAAAACATACATCTTCAGCTTCAAATAGTTGCCTATGTGTCCATAGTTGAAAGATCAAGTAAACAAAATATGCAGCCAACATGACAATGCTAGCAGCTCTTGACAAGTAGAGTGAAGATTCTACGGTGAGTTCCGGTGATGCAGCACTGTATGTTAAATAGCATTGGAAGCAAAAGACATAGCAATGCCAGTATCAGCATCAGTGAGTTCACATCTGCTTGCCTCTGCAAAATTCAATACTTAACATTAGCATTAACTGAAGTTCGACTAGAAGATAAGTAAAGTCAAATTCAAAATTGCCAAGATCGAGTTATAGGAAACAATACTAGGCAAACCACCATCTGATATCATGTTATTTAAATACTCTATAGCCAAATTTACTTTTCCTTCTTTACAAATAGCAGAAATCAATGGATTGTAACAATAAGCATTAGGAGCCAACCCTCTCTTCTTCATACCCTTCAACACATTCTCAGCCTCGACAATTTTACCATCACGACAAAGTGAACAAATCAATATGCTGTATGTCACACAACTCGGATCACAACCTTTATCCAACATATCAGACATCAAACTCTCTCCAGCTTCCCATTTCCCTTCTTTCAAAAGATTCTTCAACAGAATATTATAAGGACTCACATCAGCAACACAGCCCTTACAACTTATACTACTAAGATACTCAAAAGCTCTATCCAACAACCCTTCTTTACACATACCTTTAACAACAACATTATAAGTAGACACATCAGGTCGAAGCCCTCTCGACAACATCTCATCCAAAAGCTTCATAGCCTTATCAATACCACCTTCAATAATAGTTGCTTTAATCAAAATAGTATAAGTTATAACATTTGGCCTACAATTATCTTTCAACAAGTGATCCATAACCCTTAAAGCCAAATAAAGTTTACCCCTCCCACAAAGACTCCCAATGAGAATATTATAAGTAACAACATCAGGTAAAAAACCTCTCTTTTTCATTCTATCAGAGCGACAACATATGTCAAGAGAGGGATTTGGTGGAGAAGGAGAAACAGTTGCAGGCTAAGGTCGTGGAGAGCGACAACATATGTCAAGAGAATAAAATGCTAAAGAAGAAGGTGGAGTCACAGCCTTTCAATACCAGGGACGTTGAGAGGATGAAAAGAGAGTTGCAGGCTGTTTCTCCTTCTCCACCAAATCCCTCTCTTTCGACTCAATCCGCAACCCAAACTCGTCAATAATCTTGTGAAACTTAATGACATCGCCTTGAAGCATTTCCTTCTCTTTGTCGAGTAAATCCTTCTGAGAAGGAGCAGACCTCAATCCCTCCAATTGAGCCTCCAATTCAGAGACCTTTTGTTCAGCGGCAGCAAGGGTGTTGTCAGCGTTAGACTTCTCACGGAGAATCCTGGTGCGGATTTCGTGGTCGAGTTCGGAGATGGCTTCATCGTCACTTCTAATGAAATTTAGATAAGCGTTGAGAGAATACTGGAAGACGATGTTGTTGGTTTGGAGGGTGGTGGTGTGGGAGGGAGAAGAAAAAGAGAGATGAATTTGACAAGACTGAACAAGCCAATGAATGAGGGCGAGAATGGAAGGCCATTGATGAGGTGCAGCGGGGGATTTGAGAACATATTTATTGAGTTTGTGAGGGTAATTCATGAATTTGAGAAGTGGCGGAAGATCTTCTATTTTGTTTATATTGAAATCGAGGATCCCGACGAGGAAGATTAGGGTTTGGTGAATGTGTTTAGCGGAAGGAGAGGAAAAAGGTTTGAATGTGTTTACGGCGACGGGTGTTTTACGGTCATGCCCATGAGAATTTTTAAAGGTTTTGGGTGCGACGGTTGTTTTACCGTCGTGAAATGAATTTTAGGACGGATAATTTTACCGTCGTGAAAGGTTTAAGGGTGCGACGGGTGCTTTACCGTCGTGATATGCCTTTTAGGACGGTTAATTTTACCGTCGTGACTAGTTGTTGGTGAAAAATCAATGTTAAAAGTGTTAAATGAGGGCCGACGGTTGTTTTACCGTCGTAATAATAATATTATGATGGTTAATTATACCATCGCGAAATAAATATTAGGGACGGTTGGTGTCAACTGTCGTAAACACTGTCTCTATATGTCAATTACGACAGTTATCACATAACTGTCGCAATTTTTGTGTCGTTAAACACTAATTTTCTTGTAGTGACAAGAATGGATAAAATGCTTTTTCTATTTTAAGACTAAACCTTCATGTAATGACCAAATGCACAAAATAACATGTTGGCATAATGGTTTAGCATTGAATTATTTAGTGTTAATGGGATTAGAGGCCTGTAACCTAGCTTGTGCAAGCTGAGTTTGAAAATGCATAGTGTTATGAACATGAAATTGGCCTATGAACAAAGTGACTTTTGCCCATCTTGACAAATTCGAATCTCTCTAACCACAAGGGTGTTTGATGAGTTCTTGGATAATTTGGAAAGCTTGGAATGTTTACTACAATCCATCTTTGTAATGCAAGTTGAAATTCCAAGTGGAAGCATGTGAAAAGTGGCCATGAAGTTAGGCAAAAATCCTGCCTAGAATAGGTCAAAAATTTTCTAAGTTAAGAATGTTTTGCACCCTTGTTCCAAAAATCATAACTTGAGCTACAAGCTTCTTTTGAGGAAACTTTGTGAATCAAAGTTGTAGATTTTTCAATGGACTATAACTTTCATGTTTTGAGTTTCATTTGAATCCAAATGTATCTTGATGAAAAGATGGGACAAAGTTAGGAAAAAATTAGGAATTTTCATAACTTAAGAAAAATTCTAAGTTATGAAATTTCTTCATTTCAAACCCTACTTTATGATTTATGATTTCTTGATGAACAAGTTTCATAATTTGGCATGTCTTGATTAAAAATGAATCTTGGCCCTTGATTTTGACCAAAAAGTCAAAGTTTGACTTTTCAGTATACAGTCAATTTTGGCTCAGTTGATTGGAAAATTCATCTGTCAATCTTGTGCAATTGGGATCTTTTGAACTTGTTGAACATGTCAAGACAATGCCATTGGGTCCTTGAGTCCATATGTGAGCTTGGTTTGCCATTGGCTAGGTCAAACAGTCAAAAATTGCCTTTGTGCAGTCAAAACCCTAAAAATGACCATTTTGCCCTTTTGGTGATCTGATCAAATTTCTTGTGGAATTGTGATCCAAACTTGACCAAACGGTTCATATGAGTTCATAATGTTGACGTGGGTCAAAAATCATGAGGTTTGACTGTCAATTGACCACAATTGACTTTTTCCCCAATACAGCTGATTTCTAGGTCAACTGTCCAATTGACTAGGCAAAGATTGGAATCAAGGCTTGAAACTTGGTATGGATAAACTTGTGAGTCCAAAATGAAGCATGAAAGTCATATTTGGCATTTTAGGTCAAAACATCTTTGTGCAAACACAAACCCTAATTTGGGTCAACAGTGCAAGGAGGAGTCTTGAGCAGAGCAAACCCTAACTGGATCTTGAGCTCCAAGGGTCTTGTGGTGAGAAAATATTGAGGAAATGGGAGGGCAAATTTTGGGGTACAACACCTCTCCTTCGGATACTAGGTCGTCGTTCACTTCCTGGGTCTCGGCCCCTCGGTTATCTCCTTCACCCGATGATGTTGCAAAATCCAAGGTTCGCCTGGTCTGTCCTTTAAACCTTCTTCCCATAATCACAACCCCGGTTGGTTTCTTTGTTTTATTTTTCTTCTCTTTGGCTAGTAGAGTCTTCAACTCTTCTTTCCCTTTTGTCAGAGCCATGAGCATTTGTTAAAACTGGGCATTCTGCGCCTGAAGATCTTTCACAGTTTGTTCAACATCCATCTCACTGAAATAAACAGTAGGAGGATAAGGCAACCTGTTATGAGAAACCTGTATGATGTTATGATGAATGAAGATGCAATATGCAAATGATTTCAAGGAAATTTAGAAGATTTAAATTTGTCCAAACCAAAAAAGAACACACGTCATATTAAATAAAAAACCAAGTTTGAATACATCAGGCCTCCTTGGGCTTACAAAGAAAGAAACAAAATACAACAAAAACTCTTAAGACAAAAAGACCGAACGCATCCTTTTTGGAGCAATGTAGGTATTCAGATTTTTCTCTTCATGAAGCAGTTTGGTGAGCTCCAGAACCTTCTTCTCGCTGGCGTAGTACTGGGTTTCAAAGGTGTCTCGCTCTTCTTCTTTCAACTGAATCCAGGCTTTCTGCAGGTCTTCGAGAGAGGTAGGCATGTCAGGATGAAGAACAATGTATGGGATGTCTCCTTCAATAACAAGCTCAATGATGACAGGAAGGATGGAATGGTAAGGCATCAAGAGACTCTGGGCACGAGCTCGTACCCACTTAAGGTAAGGCTCGAGAGGGATAGAGTTTTTATGTCCCAAAGTCCTACTCTCCACCTTATTCACCATTCCCTGAGCACGTGTAAACCTCTGGTGGTAACCTTGGTCTTCTTTGTCGTAGTCAAAAACCAGACCCTGGACGAGCATCTCATGAGGGCCGTCTCTTCGGGCATACCCAAATTGCCGAAGAGCTAAACACGGGTTGTAGGTGATACCTCCCCTAATACCTAGTAGAGGTATATTAGGGAACTCGCCACAACGGTCAATGATAGAGATATCTTCCCAAGATCTTGAGAACCAACGGATATCAGAGTGAGTGAGAGACATCATCCTTTGAGACCAGGTCAATCTTTGCTCGTTCTTCAATGTTGACTGAGGCAGGTGTGAAGTTAACCACTTAGCGAGTAGGGTATACAACACAAAAGGGTACCTCTTTTCTTCATGGTACGGGTATGAAGGCAATGCAAGATGTATCCTAGCAAGGTGGGTATAGGATTGCGAGAGAGAAAGACTTTGATGGCATTAACGTCTATGAATTGGTCCGAATTAGGAAACAGAACCAAACCATAAATGAGGAGAGCTAGCACGTCTTCGAAAGCTTGGAAATCCATGTCATCCCAGAATGAACGAGCTTTTTCCAATAGAAACTTAGCTAAAAAACCTTTAACCCCACTTCTTGTCTCACAATTGGCTGTGACGTCGGCCCTCTTCACATGTAAAGCTTCGGTGATGACTTCAGGTTTCAGAATCCCTTCTAGACCGGTAAATGGTATCTGATTAAGCACAGGCACCCCTAAGAGTAGAGATAACTCTTCCAATGTAGGTACCAACTGATAGTCCAGAAAAGTGAAACAATGATGTACGGGATCAAAGAATTGGAATAGTACACACATCATCTCTTCTTGGAAGTTGGATGTAGCCAAACTGAGGAGTCGACCATACTTCTTGGTAAAAGGAGAATCCCCGGGCACTCTTGAGGCTAGCTCTTGAAGTTGAGGATGTGCTTTTACAAAGCTGATTCAGATGGTGTTTCTTCGGAGAGAATTCATTTCCTACAAAACAAAAACAAAGATAAATTTCTAAATCCTTGAAATGGTTAGTGAGCATGCATATGATGTTGATGATGTTTATGTACAAGCAAACATATACACACACAACAAACAAATCCCTATGTTTCAGGCTTGCATGAGTTTGTAGGTAAGTACCCTCTTGAAGTTTTAGTTGTCTCAACCTATCCTAGAAATAATGATCGGGTTCTAAAGGATCTCAATATCACCGACCTTTCTCTTAGGCATTGTCTCAGCACAACAATCTTTTCTTGCAGCCGAGATATCCCAAAAGTCTAGCCTCAATGAGTGTAGTATTGAGTATCAACCAATTTTCAGCTTTACACCGAAACCGGCTATCTCACTACGTCCTAATGGCCACGTTTGTTCAATTAGGGTTCTAAGGTTAATTAGTGCTTCGCGACGCCACTCAGCGGCCCCGTATTCTCCTCGATTCACCACGAGGGATACCAGTACCCACAAATGCGTCACACTAACATAGCCATTGTCTCAACCATATCGGTCTACACCGTACAGTCTCCACAATCTATTGCTATTTACCTAAAAAGGTGCCTCAAATCCGGGTGG